TTCCCTCATCTTTCAAAAGCCTGTCTGGCAGGCAGGTACTCAGACCAAGCACTTGCTCGAGATATGAAAGTTGCCCCAAGTCTTTGCTGGCATGTGCAGCCGGTTGTTTCTCTCTAGAGTTCATTAGAGCTTTCCTATATCTCTATCTAATGAGTTTTTGCTTGTGGTCATTTGTGTATTGTTGATAATCCGATTAGAAGAAGATCCTCATGTGTTCAAGCATGGGAAGGTGGTGAAAGAATGCTTTTCCGTTGTCCTACATTCCAGGGTTGGGAGCTCAAAAGACTGAGGTAACTGATTTCTTGTGGCATACCCCTCAAACTAGTCTTTTTTTTTTTTTATTGTGAAAATACCATACAGAGGGGTTACAATTACATGGGTGAGGTAATGAGTACATTTCTTATCAAGCATTGTTGCCTCGTCCTTTGTTTCCCCTTTCCATCCCTTCCCATCCCCCGCCCCCTCCTCAAACTAGTCTTATTTTGTGATGCCATCCTCATATTTTAGGAAGTATCTTCTTGGATTTATAGTTACCTATTTCCTTCTCAGTTCCTGTAGGGAAGAGGAAAGTGTTGAAAGCCTGTTGTACACCCTTCAAAGACTAAAGAAAAGAGAAAATGATAGCCAGAGATTCTTTGTAAATGTGTTCTGTTTAAAAAGAGCTATTGCCCAAAGATATAGTTGATGCTGCATAAATGTAAAAATAATTTATTTTATACATTTGTGTGCTGTATTCCCAAGATAATTCTCATGACCTGTGTTGGGGGGAAAATGGAGTGTAGGAAGAAATTCTTCCTTCCAGGAATTCATTTATCATGTCATCTTGACATGGAGTATTTTAACATATAGAAATCAATTTTCATTTTCTTTTTTTATTGTTACTTAATCTCAAGAAAACCTTGATGGTCAACAAATGGAGTAGTCGTGAAATATATTTTTTAAATTATTTCAGTCGCTGCCGCATAGCTATTCCTATGAAAGTTTAAAGCACTGAAAATTGTAGATTCAGTATGTCACTTTGCTTTTGGCTCATGTCTATAAGCTTATGGGTTGTTTTTTAATTGGTGTTTTCAGTGAGTACTTGTATCTAAAGTTAAATTAGTCAAGAAAAGTAAATACAGGAATGGGGGAAGTGAGGGATGGAAGGGATAGTAGGGGAAAAACAAAGGAGGAGTAACAATGTTCAACAAGAAATGTACTCATAGCTGGGCACCGGTGGCTCATGCCTGTAATCCTAGCCACTCAGGAGGCTGAGATCTGAGGATTATGGCTCAAAGCCAGCCCAGGAAGGAAAGTCCGTGAGACTCTTATCTCCAGTAAACCACTAGAAAACCAGAAGTGGCGCTGTGGCTCAAGCAGTAGAGCGCTTTCCTTGAGCTGAAGAGCTCAGGTACAGTGCCCAAGCCCAGAGTTCAAGCCCCACAGCCAACCAAAAAGAAAAAAGAAAAAGAAATGTACTCATTACCTTACTCATGTAATTGTAACCCCTCTGTATAGCATCTTTACAATAAAATAAAATTTAGAAAAAAAGAAAAGTGAACATGTTACTAACTTTTTAATGAAATTTTTCATAAATATTTAATACTATTCTTAACAGAGATAGTTGATGTTAAAAACAGTCTCCTTTAATTTATCACAGCGCTCTGTTTGACATATGATAATTTTTCTTTCTTAGAAGAGTTTTTTTTTCATTCTATAAAAGTAACTATTTCTAACTGGGAGAAATGTAATCTACCTGACATATGTAACTGTAACCCCTTTGTACATCATCTTTATAATAACAACTAAAAAATTAAATTAGTAAAAGAGTAATCATTTCTGATACCTGTCCTGTTATGTTCTTTATTAGAGCATCAAAATATAAAGCAGTAAGAAAGGAAAAAAATAAACAAGGGAGGAGGTAACATTGTTCCAAAAGAAATGTACTCATTATCTAATTTACATAACTGTAGCCCCTCTGTACATCACCTTTATAATAACAATAAAAATCAAAAATAAATAAAGCAATACCTGGTATTTGGGTATTAGGATCACCATGTAGTCAGCATTATCAGTATCTCTTCTCTTTACAAATGGGGCTAATACATGGGACGCTGAACCAATTCCACATCCATGGAAGTAGCACATGATAGTGAAAAGGCCCAGTCTCTTTGCCCCTGGTCCATCGATTTCTTCAGCAGCAGCAGCAGCCTGTAAGTCCATTCTGAGTAGTCTTCCCCTGGTGAACCTGTGAAACTTGTATGTCTGTTACCTACTTTTCATAGTCCTTTTCCAGTGCCACACTTGATGGACCTTGGAAACATGAATAATCGCAGTCCTTTCATTACTTCGTTTCTTTTCTTTTTCTTTTTTATTTTGGTCGGTTGTGGGCTTGAACTCTGGGCCTGGGCGCTGTCCCTGAGCTCTTCAGCTCAAGGCGAGCTCTCTACCGCTTGAGCCACAGTGCCACTACTTCGCTTATTTTCTTATTTTATTTTCTTATTTCTTCATTCTTTCCACAAATACTTGAGATACTATACTGGCCAAAGACACAATAATAATAACCTATTTTCTATTTATTTAAATTTACATGTTATAATACCCATCACTCTTAAGAGGAAGAAATATTTCATAAACAGTATTTTGCTGAATAATGACAATATTGTGATCTCATACATATTAGTTTAAATAGATTTTAAGTTGCTATTTTACATTGATTAAAGAAATTCAATATAATAAAAAATAGTATGACATGATTGAATATTGTAATTATTGGGGGAAATAAAAGAAAACTGTTCAACACCACCTGTCTCCTTCATCTTTTTAATCTTCTGTTTTAGTGATGCCTCTACTGGAAACCAGATATCCTACACAACTCTACCTTAAGGATAACTTGTATGAGGTTAATATTTAAAAAGCTAACATAAATCTAAGAAGAGGTACTTTACTAAGAGGATATTATACTGGAAAAGAATTTCCAGACATTATATAGTGCCAAAACTGTTTGTGGTAGTATTACATGACATGTAAAAAAAATATTAGCTAAGTTTTCTATCATGAAAGTAATATAAACTTGGCTAAATCACGTACCTTGGCTCAATCTTCATAGTAGTATGGAAGTCCTGTGAGTGCAAATGACAGATCTGGATACTGGGCATATCGTTGGCACAGAGCAAAGACTCTGTGATTATTTGATGAATTCTCTGAATCTTACACCACCATACATTTGTGTGGTACCCAAAGCATCCACATTTTCACTTGGGTTAGCTCATTTGATATGGCATAGTTTGACAAAGGTAGGACTAAAATTGCAGTTCACATGGGCTCTGACAGAAGTATGACAGGAGCAGTGTCCAAGTTCTAACAGCCTATTGATTGTTTTTGATGAATCAGGCATTATTCCAATAAATGCTTATTGTTATGAACCAGTCTCTGCACTGAACACATTCCCTTGATTATTTTATTGAATTATCCAAACAGCACTATTATGTGGTACTATCTTTCTTATTCCCATTCTAGAGATTAAGAAATAGAGTCACAGAAAAGTGGCTGACTGATGTGAGGCCACAATCAGTCAGTGTTTGCACTGGGATTTCAGCTCAAGCTAAGTTATAGGAGTTCTCAGCTGAAGTTCTCAGTTGGCCTAATCGTTGTTCCAGTATGAATACATGAGCCAAAGTAAACACCATGGTGATTTCTTAATGTCTTGATTAAATTATTTACTATTATACTCGGTGCTTGTTGTACATGTATATAAATGTATAATCCAGAGATGGTTACTGTTATAAGTGAGGATATAGCCTGGTATAGTAACACACACCTGCGAACCTGCTCTAGAGAGGTTAAAACAGGAGGATCATGAGTTTATGGCATGCTAGGCTACATAGCAAGACCCTGTCACAAAACCAAAAGAAAAAAAAAGGGGGATAGATAAAGAGACAATACAAGGGAGGGAAAAGGAGAAAGCATGAGAGAGATAGAAAATAAGGTAATCACATAAATTGCCATTCTTTTATAGTATAAGCCTTCTCCCAGATATTAGAGAATGGGTCCAAAAGAAATTAATTTACGGCAGTTGGATATTTGTAAAATCAGAACATACCTACTGTCTTATAAAAGGTCTGTAGTCAGGGCTGGAAAAGAGGCTCAGTGGTAGAGCACTTGTCTTGCATGCCTGAGACCCTGGGTTCGATTCCTCAGCACCACATAAGCAAAAAGAAAAACGCCGGAAGTAGTGCCGTGCCTCAAGTGGTAGAGCACTAGCCTTGAGCTGAAGAGCTGAGGGACAGTGTCCAGGCCCAGAGTTCAGGCCCCACAATCAGACCAAAAAAAATGTCTATAGTCAGAGAGATTGCCCAGTGTCAATCAAATGAGACATTCAGGGCAGGGGAACTTTTATTTGGAGTCAGCAGTGTGGCTTTTTAATGGATAAAGCTGCCTGTACTAGTATAAGTTCCAGGGTAAAACACTATGGTCAGTTGGAACTCTCCTCAACTCCTTAAGAATATACCTCACCTTGACTTGGCTCAAGAATCTCCAGAGTGGGACCCTAAAGATAGTTCCACTATCAATATCTACAGTGGATGAGAATATGAGGGTTTCCTGTACATGGTGAACACGATGAAATCAGAATTGTTCCAAGTGAACATTAACTCATGCCATAATGAAGGAAGGAAAGTGGCACAAGATCATCAACAGTACTCTTCAGTTGTAAAAAGCAAAGGCTCCGTTCCATATTGACAAAGCAATAAACCATTGTGTCTGGGCTTTCCTCCATCTAAAATGGCTCTGCGCAAGTCACATTGCCACTCAATTAGTACTGCCATGTTGGTTACATTCTGTAGATTGAATCATAAAGTATGTTTTATCATAAGTAAGTTTATCTATTGCCATCTGTATTTTACAAATACATGGAGTAAAATGAGTCTGACCTTACTTCTGTGTTCATTGTCATTTTGGTACCTGTTGATCATTCTCACATGCATCCCAAGTCATTCCTAACTCTGATTTTTTTTCCATAGAGCAAATTGGCCAGGAGATGTTGGAAAACCTCAGTCATGACAGAGAAAAGATACAGCGAGCACGTGAAAGAGTAAGTTTTAAGTGACATCACCGGTTCACGTGCTTAGTACATGAGAAGACGTAAAAGCAAAGGTCACCGTAACATGCAGACATATGGCAACATAGATGGAAGTGTATATGCTTATAATGTCTAGGGTGAACGAGGGGCATACCACTTCTGAAGAAGGAAAGAAAGGGTATGAGATGAACCTCAAAAGGTCCCACATGTGTATTTTATTTAGCTCCATAGCTGAGAATAGCATGACTGGGGGCAGTGCTGGAGTATGTAACTCTTTCAGAGTGAAGTCTCAAAAAAACACTGCTACCCCATTCCTCCTCCTTTCATTCCCATTTCAGTGTAAGGACTTTGCACATTCATATCTTTAACAGGGATACAATCCTCCAGCCATTGGGCCATATAAGGCCCATGAAATCATTCTTCTCCTTGGTTGCCCACAGTTATCTGCTAATCTTGATAATTTTGTATGACCCAAGAGTGATATGGTAAGATGAATGTTAAATTTGGTCAGTTTATGAGACATTAACTTTTATATCCAGTTCAAGTAACCATTTTTAAGTACCTGAGATTATCTCGTGCTCTCATTTCCTGGATCTAAGAATTTCCAAAGTTTATGTCAGAAATAAATATATTAAGCCAGGCACCAGTGGCTCATGCCTGTAATCCTAGCTACTCAAGAGGCCTAGAGCTGAGGATCTCAGTTTCTAGCCATACCAGGCAGAATAGTCTATGAGACTCTTATCTCCAGTTGACGACCAAAAAAGCTGGAAATGGAGCTGTGGCTTAAGTGGTAGAGCACTAGCCTTAAGCAAAAATACTCAGGTACAGTACCCAGGCCCTGAGTTTAAACCCCAGGACCAGTACAAAAAGAAGAAAGAAGAAAAAGAAATATATTTATGTTTGTGTATATAAGCATTTTTTATTGTTTGGCTTTATTTTTTTTTTGGCTTTTTTTTTCTTTTTTTTTTTGCACACTGTCCCTGAGCTTTTTTTGCTCAAGTCTAGTGCTCTACTACTTTGAGCCACAGCACACTGCGATTTTTTTTGGTGGTTAACTGGAGATAAGAGTCTCACAGACTTTACTCCCAGGCTGGCTTTGAACCACGATCCTTAGATCTCAGCCTCCTTGAGTAGCTAGGATTACAGGCATGAACCACCTTATTGTTCAGTTTTTTTTTTTTAATCATGAAATAAAATCTTTGTTTGCATGCACTTTAAAACTAATCTAATCGTACAAAGTCTTATTTAAATACTGCTTGTTTCCTCCCAGCTTCGGGAAACAGATGCCAACTTGGGGAAGAGCTCCAGGATTCTGACTGGGATGTTGAGAAGGTAAGAGCAAGGTAGGAACAATCTTCTCCCGCTTTCTCTCTCCTTAAGAGTTTTTCATCCAATTGCAGTGGGGAATTTTACAGGCTTGAGAGCTTCTGCTCTTTGTCCCTGTGTCAAGACCCTTTTGAACTAACAGAGCACTGATTTTAACTCTTTTTTTGGACAGACAAATTCAGATTAGAGAGAAAGCTTGAGCTAGGGGGATTACCTAAAGCTATGGAAAAAATTAGGGTTAGACAAGAAGCATTTTTTCATAGCCTGAGGAAGGCCCGTGGCAGGAGCAGCCTGACTGACTTTCTGTTTTGATGGAAGGAGTGCGGGCCTGCCGTCATCCAAAGCACACTCAGTATCAGCTTGCTCTCCTCTCTTACCTTGTTTTCATGACTGTAAGGAACACTGTCTGGGGAACTTTTCTTTTAATGTAAGTGCTGAAAAATGATTTATAAATTGTCAAGATTGTTGGAATCATCTGAATGCCTATGTGGTTCATGTTGTCTATGTATGAGTGAACTTTGATTGATGACAATATCTGGGAGCATGTAAAAAGCTAAGTGAAGAAGGGCAGTGGTATTCTAAATTCATGTACTCAGCACAGAATGATTTTCCACTCTGAATCTACCAGGTAAGAGAATCATCTAGCATCAACATGGTAGCTTGGAACTGTGGGTAGACAAGGCAATGAGGAACATTGAGAATTGCACTAGAATAGCTTCACTGAAATTTTAAAGAAAGAAAAAAAATGCTATGGCAAAGCTTGATAGTTTTTCCTATAAAGCTTCTCATAGTTAATACCAGTTCTTATAGCTCAGACTAGTTCTGTAGTTGGTACTATAGAGACAGCTATGCAGAAACTACTAAAGCCCTCTGATCATTTATCATATTTACAGTAACTTACTAGCACTATATTTGATGTGTTAGAGATTAATAGCATAAGAACCATGTAAACATATAGTTCTATCTTCAGGGCTAATACAATTTCTCTCATCAGTCTGTAAATGTCAGCAGTGAGTCTCTCACACTCCCAGACACTGGCATCCAAATGTCTTCACTGCCTATACTTTTCCTAGACATAGTATCCCAACTCCAAACCATAAACCATCAAATTTTGTGGTTAACAATAATATATAAATAACCAAAGAAAAACTCAAAATCCACAGAGAAAGACGCTGGCAATTGAAAGAAATGCTTCAGTGCCTAAAGACAGACAGAGAGAAAGAAAGAGAGAAAGAGAGAGAAGGGGAGGGAGGGTGGAAAGGAAAGAGAAAGGGAAAGGAAAGGAAAGGAGGAAGGAGAAAGAAAGAAAGAAAGAAAGAAAGAAAGAAAGAGGAAGGAAGAAAGAAAGAAAGAAAAAAAGAAAGAAAGAAAAGAAGAAGCAAGCAAGCAGCAATCCTTTCATTGCTTCTCTGGAAGGCCCCTGCTATGTGAGCTGTAACGAATATTCTGCATATGTCTCCATTTTGTCAAATCTTATTAAAGAGTCCCCTTGCTTTACGTCAATTGAGCTGTCCAGAAATCATTCATCATTTTTAGTGTAAAAAAATCATGTGGTTATTTAAATAATATCATATTAATGTTAAAGTTCAGCTGTCATTTAATGGTATGGCTTAATCAGATGTAACATTTAGGGAAAATAGTTTATTCCAGCTCTGCATGGCTTTCAGGTTGGCAGATTCAAATAAGGATTTATGGGTTTCTAAACCAGTGTATTTCTGTCTCTATTTCTGCTTGATGTACCTCGCCCTTAGTGCAGGACACTGCAGACAGTTATTTCAGAATATAAAGCATCCCCTCATATTGTGTTTGAATAAATTTGCAAATCATTTAGAGAGGGTAAAGCACAAACAACTTCTGCAACCTTTGACTGGGCTTTCTGTGGGAAATCACACTAACACGGTGGCTTCAGAAGCCTGCCGAGGGAAATTACTGTGGTGAAATCTACTTGAGCTTCTCTTTGTAGGCAGACTCAGTCAATCACTGAGTCATCTGCTTTGGGAATGTATCTAGAGAACAAACAAGAATAAAAATCCCCAGGTGGACAGCACCTTGCTACAACTGAACCAAGGAAGCTCTTAGGTCCACCTGTGTTTGTCCATGGGGCAGTGGTTTTTGTTAGGCTGAGATGTTGGTATCACTACAATACCTCGGCGTTTTAATCAACTAGGCATTTAATCTACTCTAACTGAACTGGGGATCAATGCATAGTGGTGATTTAGGGTTTCATTTCTAATTACTCTCCTATATGATGTACAATTTACTTTGGACTTGGAAAAATGCAAAAAACAAAGTTTACCAACCACTTTATTGTTTAGGGGTTTATCTCTAGTAAAACAGGCTCTTCGCTGGGCACTGTGGGCTCACACCTGTAATCTAAGCTACTCAGGAGACAGATCTGAGAGGATTGTAGTTCAAAGCCAGCCCAGTCAGGAACGACTGTGAGACTTCTCATCTCTAGTAAACTACTCAGAAAAAGCTGGAAGTGGCACTGTAGCTCAAAGTGGTAGAGTGCTAGCCTTTAGCAAAAAGAAGCTCAGGGACAGCACACAGGCCCTGGGTTCAAGCCCCAGGACAGGCAAAAAACAAACAAACATAAAACACGCTTTTGAGAAATGAAACTAGGGTTTATGTACCAAAGTCTTCAGTGCTTTGGTTTTTGCATGCTCTGTTAAAATCCTGCCCATTCACATGGCATTTGTTCTTAGCCCTGGGAAGGTTTATTTCAAATGGAGAAGCTATGTTCTTTTCTCCTATTCTTCCTAAAACCATATAGCTATGTTGTGCACCAACAGGTGCTTCTGGTTTTAAGAAACAATGTAATATGAGACTAACCATTCATCTACCCCCTTTTACAAATGGGTAAAAGAATGCATGTCTTTTCTGTGTAGTGTTAAGTATTCATCTGCATACAATATATTTATTTTCATTTGGTAAATTCTGTGTGACTGAGAATAAATGTAATCACAAAGCAAAAGAATTATCTTAAAGCTAATAGACTACTTCTAACTTTTTATCTTCATCATTTCAAAAAAAAATGAACAGAAATGACTTGCCATAGCCACCCATTTCAATCATTTTACTTATCGTGACTAGTCTGTTGTGAATACAGGTGAAGCCAGTGTTCCATCTGCTCCAGAGTCTGTATGTGTCCACTTGATCAGCTATGAGTTTGGCCAGAATAAGTAAGCAATAAAGTTTATAAGATCCTGATAAGTTTATAAACTGCTAATCATCTACCATTTGTACTTTTTAACCTTTTACTGACTTCAAGTAAGCTAAAAAGTCTATTTCCTTCCTTCTCTTTCTCTACTTTCCTCCCTCCAGTCTTCCTTCTCATTGACCCATCTTTTCTTCTTCAGTTTACTAATCTACTCAGTAAATATTTAATCCCAGGCTAAAGGCCCAGGAATCCTGAAATGCAGCCCCCTTTATTCCTTCCTTCAGAGTACCTTAGTATAGAGAGAATGTGTACATAAAATATGCTGAGGGGAAGTTACAAAAGTATCTGATTCTCGCCAGGCGCTGGTGGCTCACGCCTGTAATCCTAGCTACTCAGGAGGCTGAGATCTGAGGATCGCCAGCCCAGGCAGGAGAGACCGTGAGACTCCTATCTCCAATAAACCACCAGAAAACTGGAAGTGGCACTGTAGCTCAAGTGGTAGAGCGCTCGCCTTGAGCTGAAGAGCTGAGGGACAGCGCCCAGGCCCAGAGTTCAAGCCCTATGACCGACAAAAAAAAAAAAGTATCTGATTCTCAAGAAGCTACTAAAATCTTCAACTGTAATTCATCCTTGTTAATCATTTAAAAGGAAAGCAAGAATACAACCAACCAATTGAAAATATTATTTAAATAGCTACAAAAACAACTTATTTGGAAAAATTAGGGAAGTAGGAGAGGATTTATAAAATTCTAACACAAGAGAAATATTAAAAGAAACTAAAGTTGCAGAAAATATTGACAGAAATGAATCAAAAAAGTTATTTTTCATGTAACTGCATTATATTACCAGAAGGAAAAAAAACAAAGGAGAAAATTGGTCCATTCAAAATTATAATAGTAAAAATGTGACATCAGAATGAATCTGTAGCTGATTTTCTGGAAAGCCATTTTTCTTCTGTCTTGACATAGATGGAGAGCTACCTAGGGACACACCGTTCATTTCCTGACTGTAGACAGACTTTAAATAAAGTGGAATTTGGATAATAATGAAAATGGCTCTGAAACAAATGGCCATTCATATGGTAACTAGGGCTAAAAAATGGATTTTTCATGAGGTACCACAAAACTTGATTATTATAATTGTTTTGAAGTATTATGAGTATCACTGGGAGGCTTAAATGTTTCTCTTTATATGTATGTGTGTGTACACATGTGTGTGTGCAAAGTGCACTCACATTTATTCTTTGACTGAAAAGTCTTAATGAGACCAAACAGTGCAGCCATCTGTAAAAATAAAAAGAGGAAGTTTTCAAAATTTTTAGTCAGAAAAAAATCAGAATTCTATTTCCTTTTACCTCTGGAGAAGTAAATTATAGTTCATAATTGATCAGTAATTGTGTGTTTTCCTAGAAACATCAAGATTCCTAGAGATCATAACCAAGGTATAATTTGAGAGTTCCACTAACATAAATTTAGAGACCATATTACAACTTTATACATCAGCTACACTTGTATATGCTCACAAAGGCCTACAGAAAGAAATGGGTCTATAATAGTTTAAATCTCTTTCCTGAAAGATGAGGTAAATATCAAATAATTTCTTTTCCCACACTTGCATGTATTTGCCCAACTGTGCCCACACATACAAAATCATACAAAAGTGACTTGACATGAGTATGAGAACTTCTTTATTGTGTGGAGCTGTGGCAAGGTCTTTAGTAACAAACCTGTAATATAAACAAAAATGGGTGTTGTAAATGCATTTGGCCATGTTGCTTTGTTAGGAGGTCAGGCCACACATCTGGAAAACGTAATGTACCAGTAGAATGATTCCTGAGCGTTAGAGG